GGCACATTAGTTTCAATGAATGGTCTTTTTATAGCAAGTACTCATCGTTCAAGTGCATTGAATCAAGCGCTGAAGCATTCGAAACAATCTGATCTCATTTCTGTTCTCATAGAAATTCAATGCGATCTCGAACATTTGAATGACATTGTCATTGTCACTAATTCCTATGAAGAACAACACGAAATTCTCTTCAATTCAAATGTCACTTTTCGATTGGAGTGTGTGAAAATAGAACAAGGAATTTGTTTGATTCAAATGATTGCATTTAATGAAGGTCAAATAATCAAAGAAAAATACATCAAAGACTCTCGTTGCCGTATAAAAGATCTCAGCATCAATATTCTCTTTGGACGGTTGATGTGTGATATGGGTCTATGGAATCAATCTCAACATTTTTTTGAAATTTTATTAAACAACTCCCATATCGATAATGAAGATATTCCAATGATTGAATGTAGTCTTGGTGAAATACTTCAATGGAAAGGAGAATGGAGTAAAGCACGACAATATTATGATCGGATTATGAATGTGAAAACAACACAAATTAAGGATTTAGCTTATATATTGTTTAATATAGGTGAGATTCTCTATCTCGAAGGACAGTTCAAAGAAGCTCAGAATTATTATGAACGAGCATTGAAGCTATGTCAAGAAAATGATTTTTCTGACGCAGTCAATAGATCTTCTTCACTTGGTTATGAACTTAATAGTGAACTGGGTCGTGATCTCGCATCATTCCCAGCCATTTCACTGGATTCTGACGAATTTCTTAAACTGCGCTCTCGACAGTTTTTGATTCCAAAGTTTCGAAGAACTTCGTGCCAGTACCCATCAACGTATGCGGCAATAAAAACGGAACTCGTTAGTGAAATGTGTCAAAACATACATGACGTTGTCTGGTTGCAAGTCGATAACATTAATCCAAGTGGTCGTATCCTCATGGCTAGTTGTCTCCGTAGCTTTGGTAGGATCTTGTATCGACAAGAAAAATATGACGAGGCGCTTATGTTTCATCAACAAGCATTGGCAATATTCGAAGAACATTATCAATTTCAACATATTGATATCGCTCTTAGTCTTCTTTGTATTGGTCAGGCATTAACACTTCAAAGGATTTTGGATAAAGCTCTTGATTTCTGTCAACGAGCTATGTCAATCTATACAAGATATTATCCAGATGGTCATGTATACATCGCTTGGTGCCTTCACGATATTGGTTACATTCTCGTCCTCGAAGGCAAATATGATGAAGCTCTGAAGATATATGAACGAGCATATGCAATATTACAAATATATTATCCATCTGGTCATGTCGATATAGCTGAGAGTCTATGTGGATTTGGGCATGTTTATTATGGTCAGGGAAAGTACGATCAATCTCTAGCATTTTATCAGCAAACGTTCAAAACTTTGCAAAAATATTGTTTCTGTGGTCATGATGACATTATTTGTATCCTAAACAACATTGGCTTTTTACAAAAAGAACATGGAAAATACGATGAAGGACTTAGTTTTCACCAACGAGCATTAGAGATGCAAGAGAAATATTATCCATATAATTATTCAAAAATCTCCTACACTCTCAATTGCATCGGTAATATATACGTTTGTCAATTGAAATATGACGAAGCTCTACACTATTATCAACGAGCGTTAGAGATGCAAAAAAACTATTATCCTTCTGGTAATTCATCAATGGCTTTGAGTCTCGGCAACATTGGTAGTCTACTATGTGAGCAAGAGAAATATAATGAGGCTATTGATTTTCATCAACAAGCACTCGATACTATCAAAAAACACAGTCCATTTGATCATAGTTCTATTTCTTTTTCTATGAACAACATTGGCAGTACATTATGCAAGCAAGAAAAGTATGATGAAGCTCGTGAATATCATCAGCGAGCACTCGAAATACAAGAAAAATATTGTTCATCAGACAAAATGATCATAGCTAATACCATCAATCATATCGGTCATGTTTCGTACAATGAAAGAAAGTATGATACAGCCATTGAATATTATCGGTGTGCACTTTTAATGCAAGAAAATTTCTATCCTGATGGTCACATGGAAATTTCTCATACTCTCAAGTTTATCGGTAGCATTCTATGTATACAGAAGAATTACGATGAAGCTTTTCAAGTTCATCAGAAAGCTTTAGCTATTCAAGAAAAACATAAATCTCCTCAAGTCGACATTGCAAATAGCCTGTACTCCATTGCTAATGTTCTATATAACCAAGAAAAATATGATGAAGCTATTGAGTTCTATCAACGTTCATTAGCTATTCAAGAGAAATTGTCTCCATTGAATTATACTGACATCGTACACACTTTAACCAATATAGTTCGTATCCTATATGTACAAAGAAAGGATGATGAAGCTCTTGATTTTTGCAATCGAATACTAACATTTTACAAGCAAGATTCATCCAATTATTTGAATATTGTTCCTTGTCTAAACAACATAATTGAAATTTTAAAAGAACATGGAAAGTATGATGAAGCTGTCAATTTTCAACAACAAGAATTGACAATTCATAAAAGTAATTCATCTATTGATCAACTTCAAATTGCTATTACTCTTAAGAAAATTGGTGTTCTTCTATTTCAACAAGCAAAATATGATGAATCTCTCGATTATTGTCAACAAGCATTAATCATATTAGAAGAATATTACCCAAATGATTATAATGAAATTGGTATATGTCTATCTTGGATCGTAGCCAACTTATATCAGATGTTGCAGTACGATCTGACTATTGAATATTTGGAACGATGGTTGTTAATTGAAGAAGCTAATGTACCATCAAAAAATCTGTCTATCATTAACGTATTTATGTGGTTGTCAATAGTACACAGAAGTAGAGAACATTATGAACTCTCTCTTCTCTATGAACAGAATTGTTTCTTAATGCGTCTTAAAATTCTACCACCATATCATGAAGACATTGGCAATAGTTTATCAACCATAGGTGAGATTTACGAAAATCTTCATATACCTACATTGGCACTTGATTACTATCAACAAGCATTAATTATCTACAGAATATGCTTGCCTTCTTTGCATGATAATCTAACGAAGATGGAATCAAATATTGAACGACTTGCAGAAGAACTTGAAATATCACTTGATTAATCAAATGGACATTTCAAATATTTCAATAAGAATATGCGAGACTACTGGATATATCTACTATCTCATTAAAACTAAAGTCATTTAGAATATATTATTATTTTATAAATGATTTGGAAATAAGTATTAGATTGCGAAAAACAAAGATGAAAAAACTTTTCAATATATTTGAAATAAGACTTTGATAGAAAATATATTAACTAACCGAAGTGAGAGTTTCTCTTTACTTAGAATTTCAAAAGTGACGCCAGTTTTTTAATAGATCGCTCATCACTTCGGGCCCGTATATGCCTATGAGAATGAGGAAAATTTTATCAGATTCATTTATTTTCACCAATAATTATACCCATGCAAATGTAATCGATTCTGTTAACAGAAATACAAAAGATAAATCTATTGTATTTTATTGATAATTCACATTTGTTTATTTACACGATCGAAATAATAATCGAAAGGATTGTTGTAGCGATTATCTAAGAAAGTCGATGTGTTTTACATCAATTATCATAATCTCCCTTGAGAGCGGCATTTGACTCTTAAAGTTTAACGTGAACTCCTGTCTGATGATTTCTTTTTGTTGAAATTTATTCATGAATCTATAAATTAGTGTATTTTTCTTCATTACGTAATATATGAACAATAAACTTGCTACTATATATCAAATATATTTTTATTTAGTTTTGTTTTTAAATCAGAAAAAAGTACAAATCACTATTTCCTTTCTGACTATATCCACTACTATATGGCACAATAATAGTTGTTAATTGAGGTTTTAATATTGTAGGTATTCTTTCAACTGTTGTAAATGATCATATTTCAGAAAGTAATATATCTCAATTTAAATTAATTTGAATTTTTCACAATTAGACGATATCGAATACCTTCAGATGCAATTCTTGTACCAGATTCAACTTCATTCGATTTATTTTCACAAACATCATATGTGTATCACGTGATGAATAGCAAGAAGGACAACTTGTTTAATTGTTTTATTTACATTTTCAATTATTGAATCAAAAAGTCCTAAAAATATAATATTTATTTTATTGCTTTGCAAATCTTCAATCATTGTAAAAAGGTCACTTTCATCTTACGATACTTGTTCGAAATCTTATTCTTTAATTCGATCTGTTTCGTACTATGATTTAACAATTTGTTGATTAAAATCTTTATTATTGATAGCGTGAACATTAATTAATATTCCATAAGATTCTATATGTTGTATTGTTTGAATATCATTATTTTTAAAATAACATTCGGGATAAAGAAATTTGCTTTCTTCTCCTAGTGTTTTTCTCATCATAGTTTAGAATGGTAATGTCTTTTTGCATATTATTGTTGATTTTTATATGGTGACAATGCACTGCCTTTGATAATAAATTCGACTACTAAATTAAAATTCGTTCTGATGAAATAATAATTACATAATATGCTTATAAAGCCGTAGAACAGCAGTAATTATGTGTAAGAAGAAGCTGACTTGGATTGAATAGAATGACGAATACTCTCGAATCAAGAATAAAATTCAATCGCTTATACGAAATTCAAAAGTTTCATCATAATAACAAAGGTAAAAAGCCTCATAGAGAGCAGAAATTTTCAATGTAAGAGACATCGCATACAAATCATCTCGGATCAAAGTGGAAGGGATATGTCCATAATTAGAAAAACTTTTAAAAATACCTTCTAGGACAAAACCAATCATATCTATTGATTTGTATTTAAAAAAAACGCTCTCTGAGTAAAGAATATCTTCAATTACGTATTTTTTTTTTATTTCTTTCGAATGAACGCTGAACATCAAAATAAATAATAATTTAAATAAGAAAAAAAAAAAAACGTTCTTGATAAAAGAAAAATTAAAATTAAAGTTCTTTAGAAATATTTGGTACTGTAATAATAATCACTCCATTTTCATAAATATTTTGAATAGCACTTTTTCGATAATCATAAGCTGAATAAGGTTCCCATTTTCCTATGGGTATTTCGATTTCAAATTTTCCTATACGATTTGTATTTAAATAGTCTTTATCAATAGCAATATTTTCAAACATTTTTTCACCTTGAATTAATATTGATGTGCCACGACCAGTAACATTATATGAATTTGCACATGATGGACATTCAATACGTATTTGAATATTTCCATTATCTTTAAGTCGAAAAATATGTACATCAGGAACAAATTGAGATGAATAATCAATATGAATCGAACCATCATCAGCAAATTTTAAATGTTTGGTAAATTTTATATTATTTGCAAGTGTTTGTTTTGGACAAATAAACCATAAAGTTTCGAAAGAATTTATTTGAAAATCTTTAAGTTGAAGTTGAACTTTAATATTACGTTTATTCGATACATTTAATCGATTTTCATGACTTGATGCAAATAAAGAAGTTGCAAATTCATAGGCTTTAGCAAATATATTTGAGTGATTGAATATTTCATCATTATCTTTACTTATTACAGGTAATTCTTCAACTAAAACTTTGCCTAATAACAATTCAATTTGTTTTATTATTGTATCTAATACATCATTATGTTTAGCAGCATTTGATCCCTTAATCATAGTTCTAATTTGTTCAATGGCTCTATCGTTATATATCTGACCAGCTTCACTATCACTACTTGCAATAACAAAATGTTTGAAATTTTCACTAAGCCAATAACCTTGAGGTTGTTTTCATGCACCAAATAATCTGATAAGTTCAGATTTTTCAGGCTCTTCAACTTCGACAATTGTACGTAAATTGAAATAATTATGTACAATTAAAAGCTTCTGTTTGATATCGATTTCACTCAAATTTTTATCCTAAAAATAAATTTCATTGAAAAACACAAGAGCATTGAATATGTCGCATTACTGGTAAAATAACAGTTTTTAGTTTATATCTTTGAATGAATCATCACATTTATATAGTGCTTCTATTAATTAGTTTAAATATGGAATTAATTCGATATGAGTTTCCAGAAATTCGAACTTTGAATAACACATTTTTTTTGATGATTTTTTAGGCTTAATGAAAATGAAATCGTCAATGGATCACTAATAATATCGATTATATTAGCCATTTGACAAAGTTTTACCATTAACAAGCAAATATGAGAAATTTGAGCTTAGAAGAAAATGTCAAAAATGTCTATATCTATTTATTGGATGACCCATATCTCGAAAAAACAAAAAGGCATAAATGTTTTTATTTTACATTGATTGAAAAAGAAAGTATGTCCATTTAATGTAGCAGTAGTAGACTGTAGTATATGTGTCATCAAACTATAACACAATTTTTAATAGTTGTCGTTTGCAGCAGAAGACACATTGAGAAACATTCTACAGCAATTTTCTTAAAACTCTACGGCAGATCTCATTTGCGATCAAAGTATATTTTACGGAGCTGGTTTGATCGGAAGAAAAAATATAGAATTATTTCAGAAACAAAAAATAAACGATAAATATAAGAATATATCAATACATAGTTTATCTGCTAAATAAATATACACATTTCAGACATGTTTTTTAGCATAAAGTTCTTAAATTCTTCTTAATACTAAAACTATTCTAAAAAAAGATTTTGAAATGATATTCATGATGATAACTCAATGAACTCGATCGAACCGAGCCAAAAAAGTCAATATAATGTTAATTTTATCTGAAAGTAGCAACCTATCTGATCAAGATGATTATTGAACAGAGATTGAGAACATTAAATTCGATTTAATCTACATGTAAAATATTACTGATTCATTGCAATTGAATGAATTATCTTATCCATAAAAATGAAAATAATACATTTTCAAAACTGTTTACCTTTAATCTTTTATAAAGTGTTTTTAGATAGAGTTGATCATCTAATGTAAGTTGATTGACTACGAGCACGAAAATTTCAGCCGAATTAAGAGCAATCTCTTGAATAAAAGAATCACTAACTTGACGTTCGTATGATTTTTCTAAAAATGTTTTATCATGATATTCGACCGGTGTTCGTGTTCCAGCTGTATCAATAAGTGCTAGGGGCGTATCTTGTGTCTGAGATACAAATGGTAACGATACACTCAATCCATTCGTACGTTCAATGAACGAATGACCCAGATTAATATTAGCCAACATCCGTAAAATATATGTCTTTCCAACATTGTAACGACCTACAACATTAACTACAAAACGAGATATTTGGTTGCCATCTTCTTTAATTTTATTATCGTAAAAATCTTTTCCTTGTGGAAATGTAACAGGATATGCGTTAAGACTTCGAAAAATATCTGTAGGTCGAGTAAGATCAACAACAAAATCATATGAACTATGATTATTTGATATTGTATGTTTTTCTTCATTTTGATCATCATGTGATTTTGAAACTATTGATACCAGATAATCAGCAAAAGTAGGTGGAAAATCTTTCACAAAGTCCCAAATATTTTTCGCAGATTTCGCTGTTTCAATAATTAATCGTACATTGGACAGAACCGTATTGGGTTCACCAACAACATTAAATATAGTATTATTACATACACGCATGTTTTTTTGTTTTTGTTTTCGTATTATACAGCGTGATTTACGTTTATCGCTAGGAAGCGCTTGCGATGATGCGAAAAGAAAAGTGAAAGCACATAAAAGAAAAAGGGACTGCAATGTGTTTGTTACTGACAATGCTCCTGAATAGACTTTTTCCTTTCAACTACGGGTTAGAGAACAGTGTACAGGAGAGATTAACAAAAAAAAAGGGGAAATGTATACGAAGAAAAAATATTGAATGAAAAAAAACAAGAAGAAAAAATAGAAAAGAAAAACTATGCAGGATAACGTGTAAGTTTCTGTTTCTTTTTAGACATTATAAATTATTCTACGAGCTTGTCACTACTTCATGATTGAAAATTTGTTTCATATTTCGGATCTATTTTTGCTGTGTTAATCAGGAGCCCGTAACGACAATAAACTATACATATACTTATCAAAACCATCAGTCCTAAGATTATTGAAACTATGAACATACCTAAATCTTACATGTTTATTCCCATAGTGAGTAGAATGGATTCAAAAATCAGTTTAACTATGTCGTATCGAATAAAATATAGTAAACTAGAAGATTTATTAGCTTCTCGTTGTGCAAGATGTTTTATGTTGTGGAATGATAGTTGTTGAATTTTCGTTTCTTGAATCGTGAGAGAAAAAAGTGAAAGGAGAAGAGTAGCAGTGCAAGCAATCGACTTGTGTTCCTTGCCACCCTTGAATACACGTGTGTTGGAACAAGTAATTTTACTTTAAAATATAGAAACACAGCATGCAACTGTGTGTTGGTTGTTTCGTAAAAATGCAAACTCATTTGCGTTTTTTGTTTCTGAAACAGAAAAAGAAGTAAACACAGTTTAACGAAGAAAATTAACGTTTTACATTAATTTTGACAGCTCATTAAAAAGCCTAAAAAATTGGTCAGTACATTTGGCTGGTCATCCACATGATAATTCTTCAGAATATGAATCGATTCGTGAATTATAGCAGAAAATGTGATTATTTCCAGTGTTTTTGTATGGAAACGTTGAGCTATCTTGATTTTAATGTGAAAAATATTTATTTTCTCTTATATTTAAAAAGAACATAGATTTTATTGTACATCAGTCGTCAGAAAATTTTCCGAGTTACAAAATAGTATACAAAACATTGAGAAAAGAATATAACTGAATATTGTAACATTGAAAATACGTTATATAACGTGATCTTAACAAACCGGCAAATAAAACGTCATTTATACCACTCGACATTCGATTATATATTTTCTCTTATAATCACCCAAGCCTCATTTATTATATACCAATCGATACAGAATTTTACGAGCTACAAGAAACAGATGGAAGAGAAGTACTAAGATTGCTCGTCCAAATTTTCTATGGAGACGAGTAGTGTTTATAATTTGAAAATTACATAGATCTTTCTCAACAAGAAATTTATCATAAATCAAGTGATTTCTTTGTTGAAAAAATTCAATCATTTTGTTTGACTTTTTAACTTGCTCACATAGAAAACGAACGTTTGGTTTCGGTGATCATTGAATAAATTTCATTGATTTTTGTTAAAATTAACAATAGAAGCATCGAACAACGAAAATTATTCAAAATTTTTTTCTAATAAAATTTGAATAGTTCAAAAAATTATTGAGAAAATCGTTCTCTATAAAGATAGATAAGTATACGATTAGACTTTCGCTTATTGTCCTTTTTGATGTAAAAATTATCGAAAACATGTTCTTATTTTGTTCTCTTACATCAGATTTTTTTTTATCATTTAAAATTATTCTAAATGAGAATTTCAAATTGACAAGTACATTATTCGATCTGGCGAACATGGTAACATTTTCTCTCGACTAATCAACATTTATAATGTGTTTTAAATTATCAAAATTCTATATGAAGTTAATATTTTCTATCTTTCAAGAAGAGAACTTTTTCTATTCTTTTCTTTGAATCACATAAAAACTCAATTTGATTCTAGCTAAATATTCAAAGACTAGTTCTAGTATATATTTTTTTTTTGAAGTATTATCACTCATTCTTAATACATTCAACATATCATTGTTCTTGTTCAATTGAATTCTATGTATTCGATCTCTAAGTTTTGAAAACAAAAAAAAAAAAGAAAAGTCATATGAATTTCAATCTATAGATATTCTATCACAAAAAATATAAAATTAGAGGTCAATACTATTTTCGTAAGAGTTCAAAAGTCATATAAAAAATAGATGTACACAATGTGTCTAAACTGGAATAAATCAATAAAAAATACAATATCATTTCTAAAACTGAATATTGTCAGTACAATAGTCTATGAAAACATCGTATAACATAATAGGTTGCAATATATTTTTAATCTATGGAATGAAATAATTTCCAATTCATATGTTATATATATACTCGAAAAAAAAGTAAAACTAATAATAGAATAACAACATAAGAAATGTTAAATGGAGAACAACATAAAATGCGAAAAGAAAAATTTGAGTTTAAAAAAAAGAACCGGAGAATGCTACAAACATACCGTCGTTACCTTTAGTATAGTCATATTTATGGATTACACAAGCACGTTTTTTTTTTCTTTCTTCTCTTTTTTTTTTCTCTGCACGGTTTTTTTCTTCTTCCATCAACCGCATCTTTATGTTGCAAAAACATACAAGGTAAAATATAATTTATGACATTTTTAGTATACTTTTTTTTTGTTGTCATATGAACGTATAAAAATTTGGATTATAATACAAAATAAACATACATATTATTAATTTTGAGGAAGTCTTAGAAGATTAGAGCTATTGATATATATTTTTTCTTTTCAACTAATAATACTATGTGCCATAGAAAACAACTATTCGAATCTTGTATATTTTAATAATTTTTAATTTTTATATTGTTTCAATCTAATATTTATAAAATAAAATGTTCAACGAACTACATAAAAATAATCATCAAATTGAAACACTCTTTTTACATTGCATAGAATTCAATCCAAGAAAAAAAGAAAATAAAAATATGCATAAAGTTGAGTTCGTTAAATTTGAAATGTTGTTTATAATTTATTAAATGTTAGAAAATCAATAGAAACTCTTTCAAAATTATCTTGTCCTCCATAAAATTGACCATTAACTAGACTTGCAACATCACCAGTTATTCATTCTTGTAAAAACTACTATTGATGAAAATAAATCATCGTAAATGTTTCTCAACTTTGTCCCTTATCAATAGTTAGATGCTGTGAATTTTTTTCGAATAGAGAACGTGTACAAAATCTTTTAAAATCAAATTTATTTATTTTTTTTGTAAAGTTTTTAGATAAAAATTCAAGCAAATGAAATTAATTATTTCAATATTACTTTTTATTTTTGTATTTATATACATAACATTTCGTATCTATGAATATCATAAAAATTTATGTAAATTAAATTATGATTATCCATTTCAAGATCCAACATTACCAATTGATATAAGATTAGATAATCTTATGTCATTACTAACTCCGGAAGAAAAGGTATTATTAAAATTTATTTTTATAATCATCTTATTGACTATTATCATATCATTTTTTTTTTGTTTAAGATTAATATGTTATGGATGGATGGAGCAACATCAGGTATTATTTTATAGAACTTAATATTAAATTTAAAAATTATCAATTATTTCGGATTTGGTTTTTGTAGATGGTGAATTACCTAATTTAGCTGTTCCACGTTTAAATATTCGTGGATATTCTTGGATAGGACAAGGATATGTTTATCGATCAGCATCAAATGGTTGTAATATTAATTGTTATAGTCCTGTAATTGATGGTAATGTTTCTGTATTACCACAAGGTACAGGAATTGCTTCAACATGGAATAAAAATTTAATTTTTCAGTCTGGTATTATGATTAGTGATGAAAGTATGGCAATACATTATAATTATAAAAATAAAAGTGTTGATTATAAAACTGGTGCATCAAGTGTTATTAATATTGCCCGAGATCCAAGATGGGGAAGAGTACCAGAAACATATGGTATATAATAAATTCAATATATTTATTATTAAAATTTCATATTTCCTTTTTTTTTTCTATTATAAGGTGAATGTCCAATATTAACTGGTGAAATAGCAGTAGCTTTCAATAAAGGTATTATGGGTTATGCAAAATTAGAAGATACACAATTAGAATATGGAATTTATAAAGTTATACCTGTTATGAGGTAATATTTTGTAAATATATTATTAAAAAATTGTGTTCTTTTTTTGAATGTACTATTTTGAATATTACGTTTAGTAAAAGCTTCACTCTTACTAGCGTTTTCATAGTTAGAATAGGTACTTATATTTGACTATTGAGAAAAAAAAACCTCATACATAGCATGAATTTTCTAAATCAATAATAATAAAATAGAATATTTTTCTCAATTATTTTATATATTTTTGAGACATTTTATTGATTATGATGGTCCTGATAATGGTAGATTTAGTTTTAATGCAGTTATTTCTGATGCTGATTTAAGGTAATAAAACATATGTAAATAATTATCTAATATATAATTTATTTGTTATTACTTTTTTTTAGAATAACATATTTACCTGTATGGAAAAAACTTATTGATGAAAAAGCAATTGTTGGTATAATGAGTGCAATAAGTGCCGTAAATGGAATACCATCAGCAGTTAATAAATATTTATTAAATGATGTATTACGTAATGAATGGAATTTTACTGGCTATGTTATAAGTAAAGTTATTGTTTTTTTTTT